GAAATGGATTAATTAGTTTCTCTGATAATCTTAGCTTTTGAATTTACTCTTTTCATTTTAAATTTATGGCCTCAGTATGACATTACTAGAGTTTATTGCATTTTGCAGCTGGCATTCATATGTTGTTACTTTATGTGCAGTATACTGTGGGCAATGGGTTACAATTTTTTGTTAAAAATTTCCAGAACCACACAAGTACTTCTTGATTAGACTTGCAAATGAGTAATGCCTTTCTTCAAGGGGGGGAAAATTAGTTAAAACATTACAAGAATTTTTGTGCCTTTTTCCCTTAGTTAATAGTCAGGAAAGTTTGCAATAAAGTTTGCTTTTTGAAACTTTGACGTTTTTTAGTAAGTTCTGATTTGCATGTGAAGTCATCATCTGACAATTCCAAACAAATGTCTTTTCAAAGCACACCCGTATTTTTGTCTGTGTGCCTGTGGCTCAAAAAGGGTTGAACAGATTTATCTTGCTTTCTGCCATTCAAAATAGTGGAAAGTTGGGGGTATAGCTCAGTGGTAGAGCATTTGACTGCAAAATAGTGGAAAGTTGTAATCTCAACAGCATTTTTAATATCTTGAATAATTTAATAATAGATTTTAATAATTTCGACCTTAATTATAGATTGTAGTGGTACAAACACTGCCCACAAATCACCTACACTTTCTCCAAAGAAGCATTACTAAAGAAAAACAATAAACCAGAGTTAATATTAATGATAATATTAACATGTAAAGTATAAAAAGAAAGCATGAAGTAATATAATACAATTTTCAAATAAAATCTTTATACTACTTCACAGACACAGTAAGATCTGGAAGCAGAATCTAATTCCTATCAGTATGTTTTTAGATCTGAACTGACCCTGTACTTAGTTCCAAGAGAGTTCAAAATTCTTAGCATTTATTCCCATGGTAGATGTCCATTTCATATTGAATATGCAAATTTTAAAAGATTTCTGGTGATTTCATTTGGCTTGTAAGTAAAGATCTTGAATTTTTTTAGAGCTACATAATGTTTGGTGATGAAATTTTGCACTTATGAGTACTAAATTATGCCAAAAAGCCATTTACTTCATATTCTTTAAATACCGTGGCACAATTCAACTTAAAGCACAATTCAACTTTAAATACCATAACACACAATTCAACTAAAGATGTAAACCATCTTAAATAACATTAATGCAACGTGCACATAATTAACAATGTAACTAACTTAATTTTCATGTAACAGATAACATCTGGGGGAAATGTATATTGGCAAGTTATGCAAAACTAATTTTCTAGCGACCACATCTGTTGATGTTATTTATTGTATGTTCACTTAACAGTCCATTATTCTGTTTAGAAATCTATTCTCTTCTTTATTAGAGCTTTTAATGTACTCACCTTTGTTCAAATGGTCTGCTCATTATCAGAAAAAAATATAAATGGCATTCACATGGAACAACATGATTGTTTTTATTATATCCATTTGTGTTGAAGCATTCAAAAATGGCAAGAGAAACACATTTATTGCTTTACATTCAAAGTAATATTTAGGGGGTATTTGAAAGTCAAGCAAAACCAATCATTTGACCAAATGGATGTATGTGTATAATCAGAAACTCCTGATTTTTAATCTCAGCATTAGGCCTCAGGCAAGTCACTTAAAGTCCTTCCCTTTGTTTCCTGATCTGAAGATTATGGGTGCTATTCTCATATATAAAAAGGAAGGTTGCTAAATCAGGATACCAAATAGGAGTGTTTTTTTAATAAACATTCTTGATCCCTTTTCTGTTTTTATTTTTCCAGATTTAAGAGGTAACATATTAGACTTTTGAGGAAAAAATATGAGACAATTACAATTCTACAGGAATGTATAAAAATAGTTATAAAACTAGCTTTATTTAATTTGCTTCAACTTTTCATAGACTTGAGGAAATTATAACGTTCTTTCAGAAAATCTAACTTAATAAAGCTGACCATGTCTCTCTGTTTTAAATAGATTTTATTACAGAACCAGTGATGTTGTAAAACATGAGGTTTTGTTAAAAAAAAAAAAAATACAAAGACCTAATTGTATTTTTTTAAAGAAAGTATTGCATCAGACGGTTTCATTTAAAGATATTTGCTGGCTCTGCTCTCACCACAATTATTGATTCTAATTTTCCTTAAACTTGTTTTTTAAAAAAAGGCTACCATTTTTAATAGGGAAAAAAATCACCGTGATGCTTCTGGGCATTATGTTTATTACAAAGTATATATTTGACAGTGTACCTTATTATTATTAATGAAAAGACTTGATATTTATGCTCATCTGAAATTGTGACATTTTCTTCCCTTACAATATCTCACTAACCTAGCTAAATGTAATTCCTCATGAAAGAGAAAAACATAGCTGTGCTTTGGTTCATTAATAGTATGCAAAACACCCTGAAGAAAAGAAATTCTCATCCCAGTTTTCGTTTATGAATTAAATCAAGTTAATAGTTATATGAGCTCCACTCTTAAAAAATCAAAGAAAAGAAAAGCTCAACTCTCAGTCAGAACCTCAGGTTCGTAGGATAAATGGGAGTTTCACTCCATGAAAGAAATGATGTGAAACTGGAAAGTTCCAAGTTGCCAAGTGTGTGCCCAGTAGACACACACACACACACACACACACACACACACACACAGTTTCACGGTGCCAAAGACTGGAAAACTGGGTTGTTGGCAAGTAGTTCAGATGAGCCTTATAAAGAAATCCAAACCACAAGGATGTGAGGGATAAAACAAGAGAGCACAATACCTGCTCGAATTTAAGTATATAATCTGATGCAGGAAAGGGTACGAGTGGGCAGGTGATAGAATCTGCTTCTACCAGGACTGAGATGGAGAGGCAATCTACAGAGAACTTCCACCAGGGAGACAGGGCAAATTAGCAGAAAAGCCCAGCCTGTGTGTACAAAAGCATAGCAGCAAGACAAATATGATGACAGCAGACCAGATAAAGTTCTGTTTCATTAAAAAAAAATTACTTTGCAGATGAGTTCGTGATTATTTTCTCAGTGCCTGAGATCATTCAGTAAACTATTCTTTTCTCTGTTCTTTTCAATATCTCACTCATCCCCCTCTTACCCCAGACTTCCTGTTTCTCACCCTATATTAAAGTTTATACCACTAAGTAAATACCTTATCATCTTCCCTTGTCTCTGATTCCCATGTGCAGCTTATTTATTTTACCTATAATGTTTCAGAGGCCACTAAAATGTGTTTAGCTGTCTCCTTTTCCTAGCTTGGTAAATAAAAAGCAATAGAAGGTATGGGAGGATGAAAAACAAGAGTGGTGAAAAAATGTACAAATCATTTTGTAGCAAGATGAAACTACTTATATGCCCCATTTAAGAAAAATGCAATGGCTCATGAATGTGATGAGAGAAGAGAACTGTTCTGATATGTTTTCTCAGTATTCCACTTTGATTAACATTTAGTCAACTTAAGATAAACAATCTGGAATGATGTCACTTAACAGAATAAAAATTAAGGGCTTAATAATATCAATAATTTCCAAATATGGCAACTTAATGACGTATTACAGTTTACTGAAAACTGCATAGGCCAAGAAGTCAGCACACCAGGGTTTAATTCCCAGCTCTGTCACAAAGTAATTATTTAACCTTTGGCCAATCATTTAACCTCTTGGTTTCCAAATCTCCTTGCCTATGAAGTTAAGACATGTCAGTGCTTCTATATATTTACACTAAGCTGCAAATTTCTATAAAATCAAGCTAAAATTAATAATATTAATTCAATGCAAAATGCATACGCATTGGTAAGACCAAGAAAAACTTAGCTTCCAGTACATTCCAAAACCTAAATCAAAAACATTAGTATTTAAATAATGAAATGTAACATGTAAGTTTATTTGAAATACTGAAATACTGAAATACTGTAGAGAAGCGAGGAATGAATATACGATTATTTCACCATTATTTTCAGGCTTCACAGGATGATAATTATTTAGTGAATTTATGCATTTCCAGAGTTTTGTCTTCAAACTTGTAAGCTCAGGGTCTGACTTTGTCACCATACAGTGGGTGACTTCATCTCAGGGCCACAATAACAAGCTCATGAGAGTTTATTACATAAACCTAGAACACTATTTATTTGTAGTGAGGAATTTAACAGGCATGAAAAGGAGAACACTCAAGTGGGCATGTCTTCACAGATCAATTGAGACGGGAAATCAAATTGTGATCAAAATGCTGCTTGTCAAACATGGATTTAGAACAAGAGGAGCTAACTAAATGATTCGGATGTTTAATGCCATTAGCACCCTAATCTCCACTCTTTGCCCCAGGTCATGGTGGGCTGGGCACTGCCAAAATTGGCTTCCTTGGCTCACCTTTTTCTTCATCCCCAATGTTGACCAGCCATCAGCCTCCTGGTTGGCACACTCTTGCTAAAGAATAGTTAAATGCTCACAGTGAAGTGTTGCCCTGCCCTCTGTGTTTTTGACAAATCTCCTCTGTGATCTGGCTTTATATATTAACCTTTAGAGTCTTTATTGTCCACATCACCAAATTCTTGATGGCCACTTGACTACTGCCCCCAAGAACAGCTGTATTCTGCTGAATAATATCAATCCCACCAGGCTATTATTGAGTGTAATAAGCACCTAAGCCCCTGCCAAAACTGGAGAGGATATACAGGGTGCCTAAAACCTGGTTCTCTACCTACAGAGAGCTTGTAGACAGGAGGAAGGGGATACTGATGCATGAAACAATTACAGACCAAGGAAATGAAATTCGAAACCACAGAGTGTGGAAAGACAGTGGGGAAACAATATGCTTTTTGCGAGATATGGAGCTCACAAAGCATTAGAGAGCCAAGAGGGCGATGGCATCCAGACTTCAGAGGAGATGGCACTTGGGAGATAACAGACTTGGAACTATGGTACATACAAAAGGAAACCGACTAAAATTGTGGTTTCTCTCCAGAGGCTGTGTCATAATTCAGCTCTTTTCTTCCCTCCAGCAAGTGATAGAGGTTGTCAGGCCTACAGGTTCCCCTTTCCCGGATCCTCTGGAAGAAGGAATCTCATTTGATATTTACTCAACATTCACAGAGCCACCCCCAACACTGGATACAGAGATGAAGGTATGTTTCCTTTTGTCTTTTCGTTCACTCTACCTGAGCATTATATTCTCTTGGGGTGGGAGGAAATGAACCAAGTGTTCTTCTATTTTCTGCCTCTGATTTTTCCAACCAAACATAAATATTTCTCTGAGTGTTGATTCAAAGATGGGCCAGCTAACAGTGGTTCAGCAATTTTAATCTCTTCCACCCCATCCTCTCTCATCTCCACCTTCACTTTTCCCAAAAGTAGGCACAACCTTAGCACCATGATTTAATCTGTCACAACCCTCATGAACAATAATACAAATTCAGGGTAACATCAAATCAAAATCTCCCTCCAGGTTGACATTGTTCCTGGTAGAAAAGTATCCAACAGAAGTTTGAGGTTCCATATGCATCACTGAATGCTCTAGAAATCACTTGAGTGTTATTTACTTTCAATATCCTAGGGGCTGGATCAAGAACAACGGCCTGAGGAGTCCCAGCCAGAAACTGATACTTCAGACGTGGATCCTTTAGTTGGTTTCACCATTGAAGATGTAAAGTCAGTGCTGGGTCAAGTCACAGAAGGCATTCTAATGGGCATTCAGGTACTCAGTATTGATGGTATATTCACTTACTTTATTATTGGTTAATTGGCCAACCTCAACTTTAATGTCTGTAAATATTAATACTACCCACATTCTGCCAGCAAAAGGGATGCTTATGATGAAGTTAATTTAACATCTTGACGTCACTCTCAGTTAAGTCATCTGATATTCAGTAAGATCACAAAATAGATTTGCCAACAGCATCTAGTGTGGTGGGTGTTATCAGTTTACAAAATCATTCAACATTGAAACCCAAAAAATAACATGGTAAAGGCTTTATGCCTTGTCAAGCTGTAAACATTGCTCATGCAAAAGTAATTGGAGTACATTTCTAAACAGTAAACACTGAAGATCAAACCATAATTCTTAGCTAAATCTTCTCACCAAATTTCTAAAGAAAGGCTTTCAAGTCTTTGAACTCCCTCTCAGACAGTTTGTTCCTTTTCACATATCACTAATAGCAAAGCAATTTACACCAATGGCTGCATGAAAATGGTGATGGCAGCAGCCATCTCGGTAGCAGCTGCCAATGATTTATCAAATGACTTAGCTTTATGCTTAATTCTTACTCATTCTGTCCAAAAAAAAAAAAACAAACAAACAAGCAACTGTTTCTACCTCAACATAAAGACTTAGAGGAATTCCCATAATTTTCTAGGCCAAATGATTAAATAAGTAAATTGCATATTTTGAGTACATTTGCAATTTCTTATAGAAATGACCATAAATCAGTAGGAAAACATAGTACATATTTAAAATATTAATGCATCTAAGGGGAAGATTTAGTTGTCACCTGAACATGAGACCATATATTAACAGCACACTGTATTAACAATTAATTTAGAGAGAATAAAAGATTAGCTTGGCATAAGCATACCTTGTTACTTGTTTAATCATCAAATGTTATGGCACTATTTACATGAACATTTAATGATTTGGTGCCAACAGAATCAGCCAAAGTCCTCAGCTTAATAAGGGGTGTTTAGTGTTTACCAGAAATAGTGGAAGAACACGTTTTACACAAAGCTTTATTGTTAACAACCCATGAATGTAATAACTGGTTACTGTGTGGAAGGGCAGAGTGCAGTTGAATTAAGCTGAGTTCGGAACATATCTCCTTTTTAGATTTGATAACATTTCATCTAAATATAGTTTATGTATAATCATGGCCCTGGGCTCCTTTGCAATCCTGCGGCTCTGAAATTATTGCTGAGGAACTACTAGACAGTAATCGAATTGTTTTCAGGCCCCCAAAATTGAAAACATCTTTACCAAGGCTGCATTCCATGTAGTGAGAAGTATGCATTTAACTATCTATTGAAAAAAAAATTTTTTTTTTTTAATATTGGCATCTGCAGCATTTATACCCCTACTTTATAACAGAAAGAATATGGTCGTTGTTGTATGTGTGAGTTATCTTCCCATTGGCCTGAGCCAACCTAGAAGTTCGTTAGCTGGCTCACCTAGATGTAATCGGGCATAGAGAAAAGTTGGGCCAAAGGAGAGGGATGCAGACCCTGCAGGTGCCACGATTATTTCCATATTAAGTGGATTTGTGGACATCAGCCTGGGCCTAATAACAGCCAATTTTTTGATGAAATGGCATGATGACACGGATTTACACATCTCAAGATAGCAAACCCCTTTACATATTTTCTCTCAGTAATCCCAGTAAACTTCATACAAGTTAGGCAGGCACTTTCCCTGATAAATTGAAATATGAGTCACAGAAAGTCATTTGTCCAGAGTTTCCAGGGTCAACAACTAATGAAAGGCCCTGAATGGGAGCTGCGAACTGGGTTCTAGTTCTAATTCCAGCGTCACCCACAAAAACCACATAACCTCTAATATCACGACCAGACTACTTTGGATTTTAATACTCCCGTGGTGTGGCACTTTTTCAGTGTTTACCCTTGTGTCTTGGTCAAATTCCAAGTTGGGTAATTACTCTCTGCTTACCTAAATTTCTCCTCCTATTTTAGATGGCTAAGTTACTTTCCACGTCTAAAACCTGCCTTCTAGTGTTTCTGGCTCTAAAAACTGCCACATCCCTTCTAAGGGGAGCTGTGTGTCAGTGGTCTGTGTATATATGCTGTCTGAACACACTAACCTGCTGTAGGACCATTTAATGAATTGTTATTTGTAAGATGTTTAACCTTTACCCATAGTTTTTTCTCCTTCTTTATTTAAAAGTCATACGGTTATTACAATTTTTGCGGGAAAAGACAGTAGAGCATTCATGTTTTAAGTACAATTTTTTCAGAGCTCCTTCTCTAGTGTGGTTTTAGGCATATTTCACCTTGTATATTACAGAAATTTCTGAAAACGTAATGTGAATTCTTAAATTTTTTGCGTTAATTCACGTATTTTCTCATGGACTTACTTTATAGTTTTAGAGATTGATTAAGAATGAAGTTATCTTGGCCTTGAGATGTTAATTAAAATTACACTGAATAGAGCAAACATTTCAAGCCTATATAGTTTAGGTGTTTTAATTTTAAAGATAAATTCAAAATGAAATTATTTTGGCCTGAGTTGTATAATAAAAATTATACCGAAAGGAGCAAATTTTAATATATTTAAGGAATTACATTTCAGAGAAATATGAATGTTAACACGAAATTTTTGCATTAAATGTTGGCTCTTGGCCCTAAGCAATAGGGTAAAATAACATGAAAACTTTGAGGGAAGTTTGCCATCTTGGGCCTCTAGGTATTTTTAGGTCAACTTGAATTTTCCAGGTTAGAAAAGCTGAGCATGAGATCACCTAAAGGTAATGGTCAATGAGAGGCTATTGTTCCCAGATCATGGGTTTTCCATGGTTTCCTAAAGCAAATAGAACCAGACCCAACCCTAGTGGCTGTGGGATAGCTTCTCTGTTCATCAGTGTTCTGAGGAATAACAAGGAGACATGGCCAACTACTGATAGCCTGTTCTTCACTAAACATGGAGACTTTTGTGCCTGAACTGAAGTACTGATCACTAAAGTCTAGAAACCTGAAACATGTCTCTCCTCTGTCAGCATACCACTCTTTTAGGCACATCTTACCTTCATGAATTTTTTTCCCCAAGGCCCACACTCTTTTTGATAAATTCTGCCTCAATGAAATACCAGAAAGGTCTCCAGGTTAATGTGAACACCCTGGTAAGGCAGTGAAACTGAAGCTGGCAAGAGATATGTGTACATCAGTCCCTAGCAGAAAAGAAATGAGATCGCTGGTGGGCATAGAAATGAATCGAAAGTGGGAAGAGTCAATTCTTTGGATAGAGCAATTCTTCCCAGTCCTTTGAAATTGTGATAGAATTATTTCTCAAACCATTTCAATCCCTATATGGTCCAATATGTTGTATGCCATAAATTTATTTTAATGAAGCAGGAGTAATAATTTTTTAAATAATCTCATGCCTTCATGTCAATGAAAGATAACGTTGATGAAGTTTGTCACAAAATTGGGAGTCAGAATTATGAATTTAAAAGCTAAAGTGTAATATTAACATAATCCTGTTCCCCTACTTAATTTTTCAGATAAGAGCTAACACCCTAACTTGCCTAAGGCTGTCTAGCTAAACTAGTACCTAGGTCTCTCCACTCCTAGAGCAGTGCTCCTATCAACTCTACCAAAATAATGTGTGGGAGGATCAGTGAATTCTGAAGAAAGACACCATTTTCTTTGTAAGTTGGAGGACTATTCATCCCTCGTTTCCTCCTCCACCCAACCACCAAGGAAGGAAAAGATAAGAAACCAGAGGCCAGAGCTCAATCCTAGAGCTTAATAAAACTTGAACCAGAAAAGACTAACTCTCATGTGAACTCTGAATCCAGAATTGGTGACATGAATATGATCTTTCCAGAAATATCAGCTCTTACTAGAAAGGTAAAATAAAATCTACTCAGATACAGCAGCATGGACATTTCAAAACTGTCTGTTATAGTTACACTCTTAAAAATAAATAAGTAAATAATAAATAAATAAATATGAAAAATTATACCTGGGCTTACAAAAGTATTTGATTTTTTTAATTTCTTCTATCAAAATTAAAAGAATAAAAGTTTCTCAAAGTACAGTTACCCCAAAGGCCTCAAATTATGTTATAGATATTAATAATCTAAACTTTGAATTTATTAACACATATGTATATAAACTACTCCTCATATACTTACAAATATTTTTTAAATCACCTAAACAACAGCAACAACAAAAACACACATTTTGCCACATCAGCCACCACTGGTTTCTCTGTACATAATTTTATTATCCATCGTGAAAAAAGGAAGACATTTCCAGGGCTACTAATGTTCAGATAATGTGAAGGCATTTCTGGAATTGCGCAGGTAGCGATGTCAGTCCACAGACTGTCACTGCCAGAGGCTAAATGCTATCACAGCCACAGCAACCACCAAAACCTGACAGCAATTGCTTACTTTTTTCCTCCCAAAAATATACCACAAAGTGGCATCGTTTCAAGAATTATAATGTATGACGAATACTCTTAATTTTGAGAATTGTTCTAATTGTGAGATTATTTGTGTTGTTATTTGACAACAGAAGCTTTCTGGGATCTCATTTAGAATGTGTTATGCGGAGACAAAACCATCTATTGCAAAGGGGATGGGGGGCGGGATCGGCAACACTGCAATAACTGAGCCCAAAGCAGTTATTCTGATTCAGTGCTTATTGGGAAAGTCTGTCTGAAAATACAGATAAATTATCCTATCTTCCAACACAAGGCTATGTGAAAAATGGCTGTCCAAATACCACTTCCTGTTCATAGCAGACATACTATACATTGGGAATGTGCAGAGAAATATGATAAAGTGTTATCACATCACTACAGGCTGAAACACAGCTATGTCTGCAAAACAGGAAGGTGTGTGAGGGATAATGTCTGTCTTTAGGCACTATAGTATGTCAAAACCACAAAGACAATGTGCAGCAAAAGATAGCTCCATCATAACCACTTTTTTATGATTGTCTTCACAGACTGAGATAAACGAAAAGCTGCAAATACAGGAAGAGGCCTTTAATGCACGAATAGAAAAATTGAAAAAGGCATGAAGACTCGGTACAAGGAGAGTGATGCTAAACTTCACAGAAACAAACAAAACCGGCCAGAATAATAGACTCTCTAGAGCATCATATCTCCTTCCTGTAGTTGTGAAAGGAAAACCAAGCCCCACTTTTTATTATCCTAAGTAATTAGAAAAGTATTGGCCCCAATTTTGCTATCGCCTGTCCCACAACAGCCTCTGAATTTATGGCACTGAGTGTAATAAAAACATTTTGTATATAAGAGTTTGGAGAATTATATATAAAAATACAATTACTTTTACAGTAGTCCTTTGACATTTTTGACTAATAAACGCTATTCATCTTCAAGGAGAATGCAGCCAACTTTTTAAATAGCCAGAAATAAGGAAAAATAATAATAATTTTATCCATATTAACCCAAATAAAGTGCCACATTACTGGAGCACTGTGAAAAGATACCAGTACCACACTGCTGAGGATAAAACTTGCTAAACAATAGCAATTCAAATGCGTATACTAGGTGTTTTTTTTTTTTAACTTAAATCATTTGATTTTCTTGTTTAAATGTTTCAGTGTGAAACCAATTTTCTGAAATTATATAATGCAGTTTGAAGCACTTTAATTTATTCTGTACTGTATTTGTTATTTCTAATCTTGTTACTCTCCCAGGAGAATACATGACCTATATAAAAAGAAGCAATATATAAATGGTTATTAAAGACCAACCTATATATAGATTGTAAAAATCTTAAATACAAATCAAACTCACAGAGCTGCTAAAATTAACCATTATATTGCAGTGGAATGATTAAAAAATGTCTCAAGCCTTTAAATACCTTTGTTAAAGTATAATTTCAAAAGAAAAATATCCATTTACCAACTGATTGTCCCTAGTTGGACAAATTAATTAATTACTACCTAAGCCCTTTCCAAAGGTCTTAGACTTCAGAGTATTCTAGAATGGAGAACATTACCAGGAGGGGGCAGTTTCTTTAAGAATTTTCCAGGTTATATAGTACTTGCATCTAGGTAGTACTTGGGTGAATACCAGCTATAACCTTACCTTCTCCGGTACTGTCAAAGGAACTGCCCAAACGTATTCATTTGTGGTACAGTTTTCTAACTGCACTGATCACAGAGTAAGAGTATATCTGAAGATACAACCATATTTATTGATCATGCAGTTCCAAGGCTGGAAGGCCTGTTTCTTCCCTGAGCGGTCCTTCCTGAACGAAAACAGTGGTGGCGATCACTAGGAGATCACTAGGAGATCACTAGTGACAGGATATCACTTGGAGGCTCAGAAGTCTGTCAACCAGTCTTCTTCAGGGAAAACAGTGAAACTGGGGAAACTGCAAACAGGGAATAAAGGAGTTTCTAGAAATCACCCCGCACAGCTCCAAGTGCAATCATTGGCACCAACTAGACCTCCACTTTCAATAAGGAGTGTTTATTTGAGCAAAGGTATCAGGAGTATCAGGACTCTAAAACTAAATCAAAAATAGCTCTAGGATTCCTAAACACTGCGGAGAGACAATACGCTACAAACCTGCCTAAAGCTGTGGCCTCTTGACTCAGACTCCTAGCGTCTGATATTGGCTTCACCACTGGCTACTGCGTGACCTTGGACAGGCCACTCATCCTCTATTTGCTCATCTATTAAATGGAGATAATACTTATTTTCTTATGAGGGCCCTTAGTAGTAGGAGATAATATTTATGAGGCCCCAATAAATTCATATTAGAGGACTTTTGTTGTAAGGTTTGGTTTCTGTTTATCACTTACAATGTGCAAAAGTCTTCCCATTCTGTTGAAGTCATCCCATAGTAGCCACCCTGCTGCCCTGCATCTTTCATACTGGAGCAACCCAGGGATCTCTGAGGCAGCCCAACTTTAAGATCTAATAATATTAGGAGAAAAAGCAACCACAGCTTGCTGTAAATCCTTAGAAAAGTGGTTTTTGTTCATTCAAACAATTGGATGCTTGCATGAGTGATCTTTCTTTTTTTTCTTTGTTTTAAACAATTCATAGTGCCCTTTACATTGCTTTTTTCATCAAATAATATATCTGGGAGGTAATTCACTGTCAGCACATTTTAATGACCATGTAATATTTCATTTTATCAATTCCATAACTTTTTAACCTGTCCTATTGTATTGCTGAACTCTTTATTGTTTCCAATACTTTGTTATCAGGATGCTGCATTGCCAACCTAGTGCACACTTCTCTGCGAATATGTGTGACTATACCTGTAGGATGAAATTCAAGAGGATGAATTTCTAAGTCAAAGTGTATGTGCACTTGCAATTGTGTTAGATGTTGTCAAAGATATATTTTACCATTTTGCATGCCCACCCACAGTGTATGAGAATGCCTCTTTCTCTACAATGTTACCAACAACATGCATTAACCAATTTTTTGTCTTTGGTATTCTGATAGATAGAAAATAATGCCACACTGTTGTTTTATTTTGTTTTTATTGTTTTACTCCACATGGATTGAGCACTTTTTCATATATTCATAAGCAAATACATATGTTCATTTAATATATATATATAAAATATTTGTGAGTATATATACGTATATATTACTTTAATCCTCCTAATAACCCTAGGAGATAAACAGATAGATGATATTAGCCTTTTTTTTATAGTTATGGAGCCTGAAGCTTAGAGAGATTAACTTAAACCAAGTTGCACAATTAGTAATTGGTGGATCAGGGCTTCAAACCCAGGTCTGACCTATTTTACAGATGATGAAACTGGAATATAGAGAAAATTTAAGCAATTTTCCATGATCATACAGCCAGGAAGTGGTAGAATCAAGTTTGGAACTTGGGCCTATGTGATTACAAAACCCACGTACTTAACCTTTATCTTCCTCTCACCATCTCATAGTTGACATGAAATAAAGTGAAAGCTGCCCTTTCTTTTTCCATATTAGTTATAATAAGGGAACAAACTTGCTTATGCTGATGAGCACATTAAGTATTTAGAAATTTTATGCAAGGAGAGAGTGTATAGCTGATCTCCATTTGTTTACTCATATATTGTATATTCATTGAGCACCTCTAGTGTGCCTGAGGACGTCGTGGTGAATCAAATAGACCTTGTCTCTGCCTTGATAACCTAGTGGGGGCAGACATTTAATACTAACTGTGACAAAGACAAGCTTTGGGGAGTTATGAAAATATAGAACAAAGGAGCTTGGTCTTGTCTGAGACGTCAGGGAAGCTTCCTATAGGTATTGACGATTAGGCTGAGATCTGAGAAAGGTAGAATTTAACTAGACAAAAGAAGGTGAAGGAAGATGCACTTTAGACAGAGGGAGAAGCATGTGCAAAGTCCCTGGGACACAAGTAGAAGCTGAACAATTAGCCAGAGCCAGAGCTCTCGCGGGGTTGTAGACCACACTACAGATTTTTATTTTTAACCTAAAAACAATGAGAAATTGTTGACAAGTTTTAAGCAACAAGTGACATAAGATGTGTGTTTTTTAAAAAGCCAGCTCCCTGGTACCAGGACTTCTATCCATGGAGACCTGGAAAAAAGAATATTCTCATAAAAAAATTCCCACTGCTAATAATGCATAGCACCACTTCTTAGCACTATCTGAGAGTGGGAAAAATAAATTGTGATTTTTTTAAGTCCTAGGGTGCAACTACCCCTGAATAGTTTTTGGCACAAAGGCAGCCCTCTGAAAAGCCAATTAAAAAATAATACCAACCTGGAACTTAAGAGCAGCTTTTCTCTTATCATCCACAATAAGATATGTTCCTTCCATTTGCAGGAATAATTTGGGGAACTTTTTGCCTTGCCCCCATGATAAGTTTCAAAGAGCAAATACATTCATTATGTTATGAACAAGCCATAGACTGCCACTATTTCAGGTATTTGCAGGCACTGTTGTGCCTAAATAAATCTGTGGAGTCGCTTTTCCAAAATTCAAATATAAAGCACTCATTTCTAGCCTCCATTTGATCAGAATCATTCAACCATCCTGATAGATAATAAGTTTGCATGTTCTTAGATTGCATTCCATTATGCTTCAATTCCCTTACAGAATAAACGTGCTCCTTTTCCCAACAATTGTAGAAGAGAAATACTTCTGACACCTCAAATTTCAGAAAGTCTCTGGAAAACGTCCCTCTTCTGGACATGAAAGTCATTTTTTTTTCCTAGACAGTCATTTGTTAAATAAGAGAAGTCAGGACCCCTTCATGAGAGTCAAAATACCTATTATTAAGTTTCCGAAGAAAAATGAATCTAGATCAACATAATCCCATCTTGGTGAAATTCACAAATTTCAGAACAAAGAGAGAATATGAAAATCTCTCTCGCTTTCAGGTCCCTTTCTTTTTCCCAGAAGTACCCTCAGTGGAGAAGATTGGTTTATCATATTTTATTTGTCAGGGCTGCCAAAGCGTTTTATGTTAACTTTTAGCTTAAGAGAATGTTCAGTAAAAATATCCCCCATGGTCATTGTGGTGTTTGTTTCTTTTTAATCTAGCCTATATTTATTCAGGGCACTTTCTAGGTACTGGGATGAAATATATAAGACAGATAAGGTCCTTGACTTCAGGGAGTTCATGGAATTAATGAAGTTTATAATCTAGAGGCAGATGATAAACAATGGAATGAACAGGGTGATTTTAGATAACAATAAATGATATGAATGAATGACACAAAGCCATGGCATAAAAATTTCAGGAATGTCAGGTAGCTACTTTACCTTGGGTGCTCTGAGGACTCTTCTTGGACGGAGTGACTTCTGAGCTGAGACCAGAATACAAGAGGGAGCCAGCCAAGGGCCACACTAAGGAACATTTGTGCCAGGCAGCAAGATAGCAAATAAAGTGCCCTCTGTATTGCATCACCAACTAGAACTTCTGATGACTCAAAGTAGTTCTCAGGGGGGAGGATCATATTCCTGGAAAGTGGCCAGGCTGGTTTGTAAGCTCCGATCCTCACATTGCTAATCCAGTGCTTTCTTTCTACTCCATTGTATTGGCATGGCCATATTGCCCTACTTTTTCAAAAGAACATGCAAACTTATAACCACAAAATGCTTATCAGGATAATCCCTAAACCCAATTAAGCCCACTTACTTAAAAGAATCTTGATCCAAATCTTCCAGAAGAATTCCAAATAAATTATGTAGCTATTCCACTTCAAAGGAGGAAAAGCATAATTCCTACTTAGGTGTGGGCTGTACATAGTGACTTTCTTCCAAAGAATACAATATGGAGATGGGGGCCGGGGAAGGGAAGAGTGCCTTTATGCTTAAGAAACCTGACAAACTACTTCAGCCAGGTGATCAAGGTCAACATCAATAGTCAATAAATCAT